TATCTTTGATCCGTTTTATTTATGGTAACATGTGTTTTTAAGTGATTTTTTTTATAATATATAAATAATATTTTTAATTAAAAAATAAAATTACTTAATAAAAATTACATATTTAAAAAAATTAATATTATCATTCATATATTATAAAAAAATATTATGATAAATAAAGTGAATTAGGGGTAGTATCTCTTAACTATTTTTAATTAAAAAAATAAAATTACTTAATAAAAATTACATATTTAAAAAAATTAAAATTATCATTCATATATTATAAAAAAATATTATGATAAATAAAGTGAATTAGGGGTAGTATCTCTTAACTATTTTTTCTCATTTGTATGTTATATAAAAATATTATTTAAAGTATTAATGATTATTTATTTGAATGGAAGAAACTCAATTCTCTTTTATTAAAGCCTCAAATTTAAGTTTTATAAATAAAAAAATAAATAAATAAATAAATTCAAAAAGATAACTTCCTCTTATTGTTCTATCACATCTTGATTGCAATTTAGTCAGGACCAAATATGACTTTTAAACATTAAGAGATTAAGATCAAATCAAATATCACTTAAAGTTATGGGTTGGTATTACTATCACACCCTTAATTATTAATGTTATATATTTTTATATTAATTGATTATTATACCCGTTAAATCTTATATTGAGTTTACACTTTCACTCATACTAAAATTTTTTTAAAAAAATTTTAATTATGAGTATAGTAACCAGTTAAACTAATTAAGTATGTTGTTAAGTCTCCTTGTGTCGCTCTCTCTCTAGGGTTAGGATTTGGAGTTATGGTTTTTTTCTTTCGAAATTTCTCAACCTTTGAGCTTGCTCTCTCCCTTTTTTCTCTTATTGTTTTGCTTTTATTTGTTTTGTTCCTTCCATTAGTTTAGTCTTGTTTCATGCTTATCGGGAAAAAAAAAATAGTTGCATATTGTTTCATAAACATGGAATATTTAAATGTTTAGATTTAGGTTTTATCTCGACTTTGTCTAGTGATTCTTGGGGGACGGCACAGTTGTATGTTTGAAGTGGTGAAATAGGCCTTGAAGCGACAGTAGTGGAAGCAAACAAGGTTGGTGGTGTTTGTCAATTGATTGTTGCGGTGTTTGATGGAATTCACAATTATATTCTATTGACAAAAACAAGGAATTTGATCTAAGAAGCGTGGAAGTTTGCAATGAGATTTGCTCCCCAGTGGCCATGGACTTGAATATCATTGCAGACTCCATCTTGGATGCCTACCACCTAATGGACCTTTTGTTTGCTTGGTTTCACACTAAACAAGGGATGATCACTACTTCTTGCCGCTTTACTACTGGTCTTCTGAGGCGGTGCTTATTTCTACAATGATTTTGCTTTTATCGGCCACCTGAAAACATTGATGAAGGGGACTTTATTTGCCCTCCGAGATAATTGTTCCATGGATATAATAGGGTTATTAGTGTGCGAGAACTATTGACAGAGTAAGTATCTACTCTTCTATAAAATTGACATAATAATTGAGAATGTTTAGTAACTTAAGATATTTGCAATGATCTTTTTAATTTCTAAATTAGTAGTTCTATTTATACTCATATAACAATTATTAATTAATTTTTAAATGTAGATAACTCTATATACTTTATTACCTATATCCATTATAAATATAGTTTAAATTTATATCTAATACTATAGGATATGCATTTTATTGGACAAAATACCATAATATAAAAATTTATATGTAATATCAACTTTGTTTTATTTTAATATGGTCTCTATTTTTTATAAAAAAAAATAATAAAATATGTGGTTAAACATTTGAGACGTGATAATATATAGCCCACCTAAAATTATGTGCAGTTGAGAATTAATTATATAAATGAATAATTAAGTTAATTAAAGTTGTTCAAAGGTTATTCTATATATCTCCATCAACGTTCGTCTCGATTCGAATTAATTATCTTATTTATATACACAAGTCCCTAACCTTGTTGCACATGCCTAAGCTTATGGAATTAATTCATAGTTTATTAGATAACCCCTGCCATGGAGCAGGCCGTACAGACACAAGGGCATGATTAATCACCAACATCAAGATAAGGAATTGTTTAACTTAAATACTAGAACATCGTATATGGATTTTTTTATGTAGGGGATAAAGTGGTATTTGATATTTAATTGTTGTTATTTATTATTATTTATTTATTTATTTATTTATTTTTATAGTTAGATGTCTTTAAATTAATTTATTATTATTATTTATAATTCAAATACTTCATTAAATCAAAGAAAGAATTAGTTATTAATTTTATTTATATTCAAATGACTCTGAATCAATTTTCTGTAAGAGCCAAACCAATGGGGTCCTTTTTTTATTTTCTCTTTTCTATTTAATATGGAAAATGATTGTTCAGAGAAACGGAGCAGAGGAAAAAGGAGGTAAAAGTAGTAGTAATGGAAACTAACCTTACAACATTATTAGGTTTAATTTCTCTCTCTCTCTCTCTCTCTCTCTCTTAATGGGTGGGAACGGATTTAATTTGTACAAAAGAGATACATGCACTGATCTTATGGTCGTTCATTGCATGTTGTGATTTAGGGTAATGACTTGTTTAGAGAAAAAATGGAAAAAGGACTTGATTTTTGTAAAGTTATGAAAGAGGGGATCATGTGTGTTTGTGGTTCACCTCTTTTAAGGGCAAATGTATTGCATCTTGACTTAATTAGTGTGTGGAGGTCCTTTTCTTTTATTCAACTTAAAGTTATTGGTATTATAATTGTTCATACATGTGATATATTTCCAACCCCTTTCTCCAAATCTCTTAGAGAATG